AGGATCATCACAGCTATTAATCTCATTTAAATTCTTTGAAACTGAAATAAGATCAACAGTAGCCTTGCATGTACCTGTTCTGTTGCTGCTGTTTAGTACCTACACAGATCATCCAGCTGCTTCCTGAGCACAGGGAACAGGAACAGCTCAGGATAATTTCTGTGGGTTTATGTTTACTCTTTGCAGTTATCCCACCTACAGCTAGTAACAACTCCTATTTCTTCCACAAACTAAAGGAGACGATCTGATTTTTGGAAGAAGTCACACACAGACAACACAACTGAAAACTGTGCATTGTTTTAAAATGCATTAAATTTGGGGTTCTTGGTTTTATGAAAGATGTGCAGTGTTCTTGGACATTTTTGCAGTGAAGTTTGAGCTTCTCTGTTTGAATTCCGTGGCAGAGTATCAGCACTGAAGGTGATAATCGGGAATATATTGATACTCACCTCTGCCACACCAGCCCCCTCCATGAGCTAATATGAGTTGTGATCACAGCAGGAAATTTGGAAGGAAAAATAAATAATCCTCCTCTGAGTTGCTGAGTTGGAGAAGTTGAAAGGGTCTGACAAGGTCCCAGTAGTACTTTGGGGGCTGTAGGGGACAAAAGAAGAGCAAAACCTCTCACTTCAGGGGGAGGAAGCCCTGAGTCAGCTGAGGGGATGCAGCTGTAAAGCTGTAAGCCCAGAGTGCTGGGAGGTGTGTTTTTCTTAACAAAAATGTTGCACAATGTTAGATCACATCAATTCTAGTATTAGACCGGCTGCTGCTTGTCTTCTTCCTCCCACCTCACTGGATGGTTTTGGTGGGGGCCAAAATTCCTGACGGGATTCCTGACGGGATTCCTGACAGGGCTGCTGTGCTTCTGGTGTGTACTGAGTTATGACAGCTTTGGGATTTCTCAGCTCAAAGACCTGGTGCAGGGTGTGACAAAGTCAGTGCTCCTCACTGAGTGCTGCTCCTCAGGAGTTCTGTAAGGTGTCGATAATGCACACCCTTGGGCCCCTCCGTGCTGGGAAGTGCCTCACTTTGGATTTGGGGAGATCACCTGATTTTTAGGTGCCAAGTGGGTTCTTCAGCAGTGACAGCCCACACGAGCAGTGGTGCCCCACTGCCACATTCCTCCAGACCTGTCCTCTCCCTACCTTCCTGGCACAGCCTGTCCATGAAGCCAAATCCTGGTGATTAATGAGCTCTTCCTTCCTTGCAGGGCGAAGACAGCACTCCAGCAGTACCTTGCATGATCAAAGACTAACTGAATCCATGGACACCCCTCATGTCTCCTTAAGGAACAGCAGGAGATTCTCCTGACTCCTTATATTTGCACAAGTCACCTTGGGCTGCATTTTTCTCAGGTGCAGGGAGCTGCTTTGCAGAAACAGTTCAAATGATCAGGTCTCCGGTGCACTTGAGAACTTTTCTTGAGGTAGTTTCTTTACTCAGAGGACTCTCGGGGGGTTGTTTTGGTTTTTTGGGTTTTTTTCCTGAGCTACCTGGACTTTGGATAGAACAATCAGTCATTGTTTTCCTTTTGGGCCTCCAATTTTCTGCTTTTGCTGCAGCCTGTGTGTGTGGGTGTGTGCTTGGGTGTGGGTGTGTGCTTGGGTGAGTGTGGGTGGGTGTGAGACCTCACTTTTGGTTTTCCTTTTTTTTGTGTGTGTGAAAATCTTTTTCTACAGGTTTTCAAGGGTTAACCATTGTTTGCTGTACGAATACTTCAATGAATTATATACAGTTTGAATGAAATGTTATTTAAAAAAGAAAAAAACCAAACTGTTGTATCCCATAAAGTTTATTTTGAATTTTGAACAGATGAATGTTTTTAAGTAAAATATATGCATTTCTGAACTTCAGCTTAACTTACATTATACTTCCTTTTTCAAGAGAGAAATAGAGGGAGGCAGTAGACCCCAAATTCCAAGCAGCACTTTCTGTACTGACAAGATCAAAGAGTTCTTTACTACAACACAAGGTCCCTGGTACTGATGACATGCTCAAATCCATGCAGTGGGTCAGCTGGATTGGGGTTGGGTTTCTTTACATTTCTAGAAGACAAGCTCACACTTCAGGGTTAGGATGACTGTTGGCTTTTCTGGGAAGGAGCAGGTGGCTGCAGGATCAGCAGGAATAAGCTTTGCTTTCCTAGCCAGGAACTTGCTCAGCTAATTGCTGAAGGATTGGCTTGTTCAGGGGAGAAGGATTTGCTGATCACTGGTACCAGCAGAGCAAACAGTGTGGTGCAGAATTAGCAGAATGCAGAAGGAGCTGCCAAGTAGTGGTTAAGGGATTGCTTTTGTTCTGCATCCTTTGCCTCCACAAAGAGTTAAGTGACTTCCAAATCATCTCCGCAAACGATCTGCTGGGAGCATGAGGTTTAGGGAAGGGATGGAAAAACCAGGGCTTTGGTTTGGTTTTGTTTTCTGGCTTGGCAGTGTTGCTGCAGGTCCCTGTACACAGGCAGATACACTTGCATGGATTTAGGTTCCTGGATAACGAGGATGGGGTTGGACTGCACCTGGAGGCCTTGACTGTGCCTGGGACTGCCTGAGGTGTGGGGAAGCAAACATGAGTGCAGACCGAGACTGTGGGAGGTCAGACTGGCATGGGAGAGCCCAGGGCTTTCCCAGCAGGTATGCCTGGAGCAGCAGGGCAGCAGAGCCTCCTCCGTGGTGCAGCCCAGGGCTCTGGCCCCCTTGGGGTTCAGCTTAGCCCATGGTTAAGCCAGACTCTCCAGACACTGTATGTGCACAGCACTAACAGGCACTAGGGATGGCAGCCGATGTCTTAAACCAAATCTTTCTTCTCCTATGCCGAACTTAAGGGAGGCTGCAGCAAGAAGAGAGGTCTGTTAACTTTGCTAACCAATTTTGATAAGTATCTAAATCTTCTGTTTCTGATCAGGTCAGATTGTGACAGCCTTACTTCTTTTCCAAGGTAACTACTTGTGTCAGAAAACGTGACCGCAGTTGGGCCTGGCATTTGAATGTGCTGTATATCAGATCACTGTTATCACTTGGTTGCAGAGGATGATATCTACATTTCATGTAACTTCTTCCACTCTCAAAGACAAATAAAAGTGAGCACCTGACACTTTTTCCCCAGGTATTGCAGTAAGTGACTGGCAGTTTTTCAACATCCTTCTGCCAATGTTTCATGATGGACTTTGGGGGTTGAAGAAAAGGGAAAGTAAAAATATGTGAGAGCTTGTTAAATCTCAGTACCTCAGAAGCAAAGTCTTGTTTATAAAACTGAATCAAATATATTTTTGCTTGAACTGAGAAGGAAGTTCTGAGGCAGGTGTTGTAAATGCAAAAGTGTCCAACGTGCTGCAGTTGCACTCCTGTGTTTGTTTAGGAGCTCAAGTTCTTCTGTATCTCTTCTCTTCCTTCCCCAACTCCCATTTCTAAAAGCAAATCTGACTTTGATTCTATAAAACTTCGGTGCCTAAAGGTGTTTAGAAAAAAGGTGAGTAAAAGTAACTCTGTACAAGTTTTGAGGTGGTTTCCTACAATTCTGCCAGAAAAACTAAAAACCAATGCTCAGACAATCTCGTTGCTGCATGAGAACAGTTGAAATTTTCCCCAGGTATTGAGAGGACAAAGTGTTGGATGAGAACATTTTTACATTCAGTTAAGCTTTGTGAATAATTTTTGATGTTGCTATAGGTATGTACAAAAAGAAGAATACTGTAAATAAAGAGAACTTTACCAGAACATGGAGATTTTTCTCAGCTTCCTGGAGAAATCTGAGCTCTCTGTGCCAGCCCCTCTACAGCCTGAGGGTTACAGTGGGAACAGACTTTGCTGGTCACCCAGAGCTTTCCCAACAAGAGGTGGCAGCAGCCTGTGAATGCCAGGGCTCTTTGCAGAACCAAAGCAAAGTTTGTCTGGACGTCATGTGAATCACCAGGATTTCTGCTCTTCTTGTGCCATTTCTCTGCTGAAAACCCATCCTGATGAATTTTGATAAGTATATCCTCTCTTTGTATCTGGGCAAAGTGAATTTGGGACAGGAGCTGTCAGACAAGTGGGGCCTTTGGCTGCTCCCCACCACCTTCATCCCACGTGTGGACTGTCTGTCCCCCACAGAGAATCCAGTGAGACACAGTTTGGCTGCTCCAGTCACAGATGTGCATTGTGGCAGTGACAGAAGCCAAGTGACCTGCTTAGAGCAGCTTGTGCCAGGACCTTCCTAAGGCAAACATTTCACATTTGTAAAAATGTATTTTCCCAGACTTTACCCATGGCAGCAGAAGCTGTGTCTCCCCAGAACTGCTGAAGCAGTGACACGACAGACAGAGGAATAACTGAGGGGCATGAAATTAGATTCTCAAGTAGAAAGGGGTTATCTTTGGTACTCCTGAAATGTGAGAGGTGTCAATGTGCAGGATTACAATGGTGCTTGAAATCAGCAGGGCTCTTCTGCAGGCTGATTTCAGCAAAATGAGACATGCTGGGGGCACTGATGTACCATACTGCAGGATGCAGCACAGCAAGGTCTGCCCTGGAGCCCAGGACCCCATGGGCACGGATGGGGTGAGCCAAAACCTGGGAGGGGCGGGGCACTGGCCCTGCTCTCTCTGCAGAGAAGGGGAAAAAACAACCACCCTCCCCACTGAGCTGTGTTTGGGGCTGGGACAGCAGGTTATCCCCTCACTGAGCTGTGTTTGGGGCTGGGACAGCAGGTTATCCCCTCACTGAGCTGTGTTTGGGGTGGGACAGCAAGTTATCCCCACACTGAGCTGGGGCTGGGACAGCAGGTTCCCCTTGGGTCTGGATCCCTCACCTCGCTTTGAGCCCCCAGTTTATAAGGGATGTGGGATAAGTGGCGTGGGGGTGGGTGGTGGAGGGGGGAGCTGGACAGGTGTGACAGGCACAGAGGCGGCAGAAAGGCCCCAAGTGCAGCTGCTGCTGGAGGGTTTGTTCCGGGGAGACTGAGCTGACCTTCCTGGCTGGAGTAGGCGTGGAGGAGGGAGCAGGGCGGGCTGGGCTGAGGCGCTGCCATGGCAGCCTTGGGGCCCTGCCAGCTGGACACAAGTCCTGCCAGGCCCTGCTGGGCCCATCCCCTTCTCCCACTCTCCAGGCGCGGGGTACAGGCTGCTGTGTCTGGAAGTGAGCGGCAGTTCAGGCCCTGCAGCACCACTTCGACTCTGTGAAGGTAAGAGCGAAGTTGTGCCCAGATTTTGGGCACTGCTGAGCGACCCCCTCTCCCTGCAGCAGAGCCAGGGTGCTGCTGTGGATGCTTTGTCCTGGGTGGAGGAGCAGAGCCAGGTGAAAAGCTCTCTCTGTGGTGCAGGTTGGCCAGCAGTTGGATCTACGTGATTAGAGGTCGCGGGCAGTGCTTTGTGCCTGGACGGCTGCTCACAGGACCCCGTTCCTGCAAAGGGATGGCTGCAAAGAAAAAAGAGGCATTGCCGCAGGTCAGTAGCAACCAGGCTTTGGAAAGAGCTTGTAAACTCATAGTTAAGTGCAAAGGATGAAATTCAGTCTGGAGGTATCTCAGATTCTGCTGGCAATGCTCTACTCTGCGGTCCTTGGGGTGGAAAACGTTCCTGAAGTCAGGTGGGAACCATGGGGAGGCCTGGCAGGTCAGATCTGCCCCTTGTCAGAGCTGTGGGGGCACAGGGAGGTGGTTGTGGGGCTGCAGGTTGTGTTCCAAGCTGTTAGGGGCTGGCACAGGTTTGGCTGCTGTCAGGGATCAAAATGCACCTGTGTTTTATGGGATAATTGCTCAGAAGACATTGAGGAGTTGGGAACTGGGGAAGGGGGGGTTCTCCTGAGCAACAAATGTCACTGAACATCTCTGACCAGGTCTCGTATTCAGAAGGCTCCCTGTAAAAGTTGGGAGGCAAGAAAATTCTAAGGGTGAAAAACCTCTTTCACAGTGATGTGCAGAGGAATTTTTCCTTGTTTACACTGCACAAGTGACCTAATGATGCTTTGTAACTACTGCATGGGGAGAGAGGGGTTCTGGGAGCGGTTCACTATGAGAAAATGTTGAAAACCCAAAGTAGGTTCTGAAGGTCTGCTTCAAAATTTAAAGTAAGTTCAGTCTTCACAAGAGAGAAATAGTGGAAGAGATTATGGGCTCTCTGACCTTGTTTGTTCACTGTTGGGATTGGAAAACATGAACATGTATACTAAAGGAAGAGGAGCTCTCTGTTAAGGTAAGAATGTGACTGTCGCTGCCTGTCCAGCTCAGTCCCTGAGTGATGAGGAACACCAAGCACCCTGTGCCCCTTGGGCAGCCAAGGCAGAGCTGGGGCTGGGGCTGCACAGCTCTGGTTGTTCACATCTGCAGATGAAAGCTGAACCTTGGACACCATGGGATATCCTGGAAAAGATCTGGTTATGTTAGAGAAGAGCCAAGCCCAAGCAGCCTCAGGACTCCCAAATTAGCAAAGCACCTTGGAGGGTGCCAGCAGTACTGGAGTCCATGGCTGAACTCGTTATCAGAAATTATTGTCATCAACCATTTGGACTCACTGATATTCTGTGAAACACCCTGAGCGTGGTTCCAGCTCCAGAACAATTAAATATCTTAATTCTGCAGGTGTTATCTGAAAAATTAGGCTTGGGGTCATGAACAGGCAAACAGACAGAGGTGTTTGAACAGCTCCTTTTCCCTAAGTGAGAAAAGTCCTGGAGAAACTGTCCTGGTGACATCTCGGAAAACCTGTGAGAGGCCACCGGAGTCTCCACCGGAGTCTCCACTCTTGGAATTCTTGACTATGGGATTTTAGCAGCCCTTCAATCCCTGTTGGTGTTAATTATTGTGAAATAATTGCCTTGTAGCAACTTCCTGTCTTGCATTGTAGTCTAAATGTAGTTGGGATTGATGAGACCAGCTAAGGAAGGATTTGGGAATCCTCATTGTTCTGGATGAACAAAACCAGATCTTCATTTCTCAAGAAGCCTTTTTTTTTTTTTTTTTTTCAATTAACTTACTGTGTTTTCTAAGCACCTACTGAGGGGCACATCCTGTAAGATGGGGAAGATGCTAAAGATCTTTCCCTTTCTAATGGCAGTATTGGAAGTGTGGGATAATACAGCACGTGGCACAGCGTATGGAATTTTCTGGGGCATCCTTGACAGGGTAAATCCCTGAGCAAGCTGATCTAACACTGAGCAGGGCATTAGATGAAGAACTCCACAGATCCCTCTTCATTGTGTTTTGGAAGTCTTCAGATACAGCTGGGAATTCAGGTGAGGGCTCAGCCCCCCTCAATGCCCACACATCACAGGAGCTGTGTATTTACTACTTTATTTGACCAAGGCTGAAACCTCTGAAAGTAGCACAGCTTGTGTGCAGGGCAGGGGAGAAGCTGCTGGAGGATCACCTGCCTTCCGAGTCCCTGTGAGGTCTGGGCTGAGCTGGGTGTGAAGAAGGGAGGCTGGAACAGCACCCAGTGCTGTGGGACAGCCCAGCCCACCCTGCTGCTCTGGGCTCCCGTGGGAGGGCCCTGCACAGCTGGGTCCTGCTCTCAGATCTTGCTGCATGGCCCCACCACGATTTGTGTTGCCAGAAAAGCAGGAGAGTGCCAGGGAAAAGCTGAGGTTGTAATGGGTGTTTCACAGTCCCTCTCCCTTGCCCTGTAGGTGACAGGGTCTGGTGGGTTCAGCTGCAGCTCTGGGCAGTCAGACAGGCCCTGGCTGTGGGTCTGGGCTCCCAGTTTGGGGAGTCAACTCCCAGAACAACTCTTGGCCTTTCTGCAAACCGAGTCTGGGGCCCCCTGGCAGCCACTGTTCCAGTAGTGCTCCAAAATGAGGGAGAGCTTTCTCCTGGCTGGGTGCTGCTGCCTTTCCACCTGCCTTTCCCTGGACCTTGTGAGACTTTGTGCCCAGCTGGTCAGAGGATCAGTCAAGAGTTCCCTGAGCGCTCAGATAACTCCTCTTCAGGAAGATATGTCCCTCTTGAGCAGTTTGTCCAGATGTTTGCAGCAACAAGTTGGTACCTTTGGACTCACTGTTGCTTTTACTGTGTTTTTACATTTTCACACAGATGAACATCACTAGCCAGGAGCTTTGGGAAGAAATGCTGTGTCTCAAAGGACTCATTGGTAAGGGTTTGGTCAGCACACTGGGTTGCTCTTGTTCTGTGTTTAGAGGACCTCAGGACTGTTAGGAATTTCATGAGTGTTAAGGGTGTTTAGTCAGTCCCTCCTCTTGCCCTGAATGGAAGAAAGAAATACTCCAGCAGAAGTGAGACAAGCTGGAGGTTGTAGTCCTCATGTGGGACAGCTGTCATGCAATCCAAGCAGTGCTGGTCCAGAAGCTTCCGGAGTGTCCAGTCCAGCCACTGCTTGGAGCAAGACTGTTCCCAGCAAAGGAACAGCCCTGGTTCCCAAGGGTGCTGTAAGGCTCATGTGCTCTCCCTCTGCAGCAGTTCTCCCTAGAAAATCTGGTCCCTCTAAAAGGGCAAAGCCATGTCCATGTTGCTTTTAAAGGCTCCTCCACATAATTATTAGCTTGATATTTTACAATGTGATTTCATCCTCTGACCCAGCATCTCGAACCTTCCAAGGGTAGGACAGTTTCCATCTCAGAGTTGAATCCATTCAGTTCTAGTGTTTGGTCTATTGGTCTGTGTCTAAACTGACCCATTTTCACCTCATTCTCACTCATTTTCCTGCTGACAGTTGTTGATGCGTTTCAAGCCTGGTGTGGCCCGTGCAAGACAGTAGTGGATCTGTTCCAAAAAATCAGGAATGAAGTTGGTAGTAATCTCCTGCATTTTGCTGTGGTAAGATCTCATTTGACACTACCTGCAGTACCCAGTCCTCTGCAATCGGCAGGGGCCTGAAGGCTCAAAACTAACACAGCCTTGAACACCCTCCTGTATCGAGACCAGCCCTGCTTTGGGCAGTCTGGGACCACAGCCCTTCAGAGGTCCCTCCCTACCTCAGTCCTGCTGGGATTCTGTGTGTAAGTGCCTTTCCTGGCTGAAGGCAGCTCTGGATTATGGAGAGAGCCAAGGGCAGGGAGGTTTCTCACAGCTCAGCACTCCTGCTGCTGCCTTTGCTGCCACCACAGTTCCCCCTGCCACTTCTCTCCTCATGGACAAGAGGCCCCCATTTCATTTTCCAGCCTTTTCCTGTGGGATTCACCCAGGCAAGCTGCTGGGAATAGGCATTCCTGTCCCAGCAGAGCTGCTGTTCCAGCTCCTGCAGGTGAGATCTGCCTGCTTCTCAGGTCACTGCTGCTGAGCTGGCACTTGGTTGTGGCCCTGCCTCTGACCAGTGTCACTTTGTCCCCAAAACCCACCCCAGAGGTGTTTCCCTGTGTGGGGGGTGAGGACCAGCCAGCTGAGGGGGGCTGAGTCCAGGCACGTGCTTCCCTGTGGAGCAGAAATGCTTTCCTAGAAACACCTGTTCTATTTCCCCCTCCTTTCAGGCTGAAGTTGATTCCATTGATGCTCTGGAAGGATACAGAGGACAATGCCAGCCTGTCTTTCTGTTTTATGCCGTGAGTGAAAATGTTCTCCCAGTAGATACGCAGCAACAAACATGACCTGCTGGTGGGGGCAGCTGGCCTTTTGGAGGGATATTCTATTTCTTTAATGTGCGAGGAGCAAATTTTATTTGCTCTGTATCTGCTGGTGATCAGGTACTGTGGGGGTTAAAATATAGTCAGTGTGTTGCCCTGTGGGGTCATCAGGTTCAGCCTCCTGCTTGTGCAGGACTTCACTCCTCTCACGAGCTGCTTTGCTTCATCCTAAGACTGATAAGGAACCACAGAGGTTGTTCCAAAGCTTCCCTCTTGTGGAGCAGAGCAGCTCTGTCAGGGACGAGGGCCTGGTACATAATGCTGTGGGTGATGTGCTGCTGTGGGCATTTCCAGAGCCCAGAGAGCACAACCTGAGCACTGACTGACTGATTTGCTTTCCACACCTTGCAGGAAGGAGAATTAGTGGCTGTTGTAAGAGGAGTGAATGCACCACTGCTGCAGAAAACCATCCTGGAACAGCTGGCAGGGCAAAGAAAGGTTTTAGAACATGGAGGAGAGCAAGTGCTGGTAATCAGTCACTAAAACCTTAAATAGCTGTAGATGTGCACGTCAGAGGAGAGGTTCAGCTCCCCAGGACCAGCACAGCTCTAAAGCAAAGTTCCTTCCTTGCAAAAACCCCTCCCCAGCCCAGCCAATGTGCTGAGCCACTGCCACAGGAGCTGGCTTTTTGTGTGTGCTCTAAACTACTGATATTTCTGAGGAACCAAACTGCATTACCTGTGTGTGACCTGCTAGACTGAAGGCATCTCAAAGCCTGCAGGCTCCCTCTGGTGACGCTGGCTGTCCTGTCCCTGGGAAGGCTTTCCCCCAGCTCCAGGTCAGCTGATTGAGAGCTCAGCAGGTGACCCTGGACAGGCAGAGCCTCTGCTCTCACTGCTGAGCTGAGCCTGGCCCCGAGGGCAGCAGAGGGCTGATTCCTGCTCATGTGGGGGTGGGAAAGGAGGCCTTGCCTGGCAGGGGCTCACCTGGAGGGCAGGAGGACACTCGGGACCTTCCTTGCTCATGGACACGCTCTTGCAGATGCAAGACAGAGCCCTCTCCGAGGAGGAGGGAAGCGCAGCTGCTCTGCAGGGAGCACAGCGGGAAGGCCAAACAGGTAAGGCAGGAACAGTGTGGGATGCTCTCTGTGCCTTTGGTAAGTGCCTCTGCTAAAGCTGGAACCTTCAGCCAGAGTTCAGCTCTGTGGGATACCAGAGGGAGGAGGATCCCTGCCCTGGCAGCTCAGCACGTGGGAGTCTCCCCTCGGAACCCGCGTAGGACACCAGGGTAGCAGTTTGGGCGTCTGATATACCGCAACTGAGGGTTTATCCTTCCAGTGCGCGTTTTATTTTACTTTCAACCCCCCCTCACCTTCTGGCCTGGTGCAGGCTCTTTGGCTTTGTTACGTCTTGAACACAAACACTGAAATAGCTCCAGCTGTTGCTAACCCTCCCCGCCAAGGTGGCTTTTAAAAGAAAACACAAACCCTTGGGCACCAACTGTGGGTACACCAGCTCCTGCCGTGTTTAAATTGGCCACCTATTCCCGAAGGGACATTTTTATTAGGCTTTGCTGGGGTACGTTTGCAGCCCGGCGCTGTGCGCGCCGAAGCCCGGGAGTCGCCGCAGAACCCGCCGGCTGTGGCCGAGGCCGGGGGGTGCCGGTGGGTGCCGGGCTGTGCCTCCTCCCTGTGCTCATCACTCACTTTGTCCCTTTCCTTCTCCCGGAGACTGACGCGCCCCCGGGCCCGGGATGACGGCCAGCAGCGTGGAGGAGATGCGGGGTTTGCTGATAAATAAATGGAATATTGGGCAGCACGGCTGGCTCGGTGTCCCTCCGTGTCCCTCGTCCCGCAGCTGCGCGGCCCCTTTAAGGCGGGCCCGGGGGCGGCCCGTCGGTGCTGCGGCTGCGCGGGGCGGAGGCTGCGGCCGCGGGTTCGAGTCCCAGCGGTGCCGGCCCGGCCATGGCTGCAGTCCCGGACGGAGCGGAGCCCGAGCCGCCCCCGGAGCCGCCCCCGGAGCCGCCCGTGCACCGGCTCAGCGTGGCCGAGCTCGACCGTGAGCTGGACTCCCGCAGCGAGCTGGTGAGGCGCGAACCGCCGCCCAGGCGGCACGGCCGGGCCGCGGGGGCTGCGCCGGCCCGGGCGCTCCGGCAGGGCCCGGGGGCCGCTCAGAGAGGAGACGGCCGGTCTGGGCCCCTCACACAGCCGGGAGAGAGGGTGGGCGGGGGCGTCCCTTACATGGGTGAGGGAGGGTCGAGGGTCCCTCGCACAGCCCCAGCGAGGGTCGGCAGGCGGGTGGTGCCAGGCTGCTCTATGCCGGTTCCAGCACCCTGCCATGGGCTCTGCCCCTGTCACACTAATTGCACGGTCTTCGCCTTGTCTAAACAAACAACAACCCCCCAGCTGTACGTGGTGGGTGCCTGGCGTAGCAGGTGCATCGTCGGTCGTTTAACTTCTCTCTTGCTGCAGAGCACCTGACAGTGCAGTAGCGTCTTTATTCTCAGAATATCAAAAGTCTCACACGGCCTTCACGGAGGAAATAACCTCATTCAGCCACGTGAAACTGAGCCCTCAGCTCTCACCCGCCTCTCCGGGAAGAGGAGTGTTGTCAGGAGCGTCTCTGTGTGGCTGCTTCTAATTATTGTTTACTTAAAATAAAGACTGGAAGGTGGAGTAGGCAACCTAAACTCAGTCTGTGGTTTCTGCTGTACAGATCGATGACAAAGAATTCGACATCCCTCAGGTGGATACCCCCCCCACGCTGGAGAGCATCCTGAATGAGGTGAGTGTCTGTCGGGCAGGGAAGGGGAGGCAGCACAGGCTCCTTTGGCTCTTGTGGTTTTCCAAGGAAGTAAAACTGTCACGATGTCCTGGTACTGATAGCTGGTGAAGCGCATGCTCAGTTGAGTAATTGCTATTTACAGTGTGTGACGTAGAATTTTGGGGGTTTTTTTCAGTTAAATTATCCACAGCTGCAACACATTAAAGGTTTCCATGAAGTCTAAGTACGTTCACCTGTGGATGTGGCCCATCACCTGAAGCCTGTGCAGTCTGTTCAAGGTATCAAACAGGTGTTTTTAGCTAAGAGTAATTGAAGAGTTTCTGGGTAGTTCTTAAGTTGTGAGAGGAGGTGAGAACTAGATATTTAGTCCCTTGGCAGGACCAATGAACTATCTCGAGATCTGATGTGACTTGTAGTACCTTGCAGGGAAGAGCTGTATGTCTCACTTGTATCTAACTCCGTGTATTTTTTACAGTAGTTGTGGGACAGTATGATCCCTCAAAAGGAAAAGAAGGGCTTGGAAGTAAAGATTACCTCAAAGAAAACAAGCTTTTTAACAAAATGAGGGAATTGCTGGCTGGTTTTCCTTTTCTCCCAGAGGGAGAAGGAGCCTGAGATAGGGCTCCTAGTTCTTTGAAAAAGCTGTATTAAAAATACAGGTGTAAGGTGTCCCAAACAGATCCAGACTGAGAGGAGTAGTAGGGGTAGTGTACAGAGGTGCATCCTTTTTCTGGTGGTGCCTTGGGTGATGGAGCTGGAGGGAACTGAGTAAGTTTGGGTGATACCAAAGGAGATGCAATGACGGCCGTGTCGGAGGAGTAGAATGCAAGTCTTAAACCCTGAGAGGTCATCATGAGAAAAGTGTAGGGCAGTCCAAACAAACACAAAGTCTTACTCCAGTGCTGTTGATCTCAGTTACACATGGGATGGAAATGACTGGTAAAGCATCTTTTGAGAAGGATCTTAGCGGAGAGCAACCTGTCTGAGCCAAAAAGGCACAGCTGCAGTGGAAGAGGGATGTTCAATGGGCACAGGGCTGAAAGAAATGAGGGGCACCTGCTCTGCTCTCTGCTCCTTTGGCATCAGCTAGGGTGTTGTGTTTGCTCTCTCTGTCTCTGTGAGGAGACGACATGCACCAAATTTAGAAGACATCAGGGAAAATGGCTATTTGAAAAATACTGTAATAAAAAATTCCAGGCTAAGGCTGAAAGGAGAAAGATACTGCCAGCAGAAGAGCACAGAGCAGAGCAAAATCAACTCTCGAAGCAGCTGGAGGGACTGCTGGGCTCTTAGTGCCACTTGGTGAAGGGCTGGAGTAGATGATGATAATTCTAGACCTGCTCTTGGCTACTGGGAGAGTTGGGAACAGCTCAGTTAAAGGTCAGTTTAAGTTTTGATGGAGTAGATAATATTTGGGGAAAGAAGATTTAGTCAGTTTTCTCTCCAGCCCACTTCTGTGATTCTTGTGAACTCTGGAAATTGGTTCTTCCACAGAATCAGTCCAGTGAAGTAGTAAATAATTATGGGTTTTAGATATGAAACTGTCTTGTCCTTTCCTTGATTTTTATTGTTTGGGTTTTTTTTTAGTTGAATTGGTGCTGTTTTGCTGGTGTTTCAGTTGTGATGGTGTGTGTTTTGAACACTTAGCAAGCTGTGGTGATTGTGTCCCCTCAGACTGATGATGAAGAGGAGTCTTTCGTTCTGGAGGATCCCTTTCTCCTGAGCGTCGATAACGCGGACGCGCACTCCTACGACACGTCCTCCGTGGCCAGCTCTGACAGCGGGGACCGCTCACACCTCAAGAGGTACTGCAGCCCCACCCCCTGCCACTTACAGCCCTTCAAAACAAATCCTCCTCTGTTTGGCAGGACGCTGTCACTCCTCCAGGCCCACACAGGCAAAGGTGGGATTTGTTGCTGCACTGAGGGCTGGCCTGGTTGAGCAATAAATGCTCAAATTTCATGGGAGACAGAATATTTTAGTTTCTCTGAGTTTTAATGTAGTCTTTGTAGTGCTGAACCGTGATGACTTTAAAGAAAACCTTTCAAAGGTTTGTTGGACCTCCAGAGTCTGCGAGCAGCTGGTGGTTATTTGTGAAAGGCAAGTGCTGTCACTCCTTTGAGTGGACTGCTGATGTTGACATCCAAAATGTGGTAATTAGCTCTGGGACTGTTAATTACTGCAGTGAGGGCCTGAGCCACTCCCATGGCTGCCTGGTGTGCCGTGGGAAGCTGTGGTTGTTGCACGAGCAGTTGCACAGGATATAAACACTCTGAAGCTGGTGGTTTCTGTTGCCATATGGTGGTGTATGGACTCACTGTCCCTTCTTGTTTTCCAAGACGATGCCTTATACTGAGAGAAATCTTACCTGGAGTGGCTTAAACATTTTCAGTACAGAGTAGGCAGAAGAGCCTGGAAGTGTTACTGTCATTTTGAGTGAGGCTGGTTGCCATGGTTATGCGTCTTTAGCCATAATATAAGTTATTAACAACATATTTCTTCAGTGTGTGAACTCCTTGTTTGTGCGCCTCTGGAGAGATAAGAACCCCGTGTTTCTGCTTAGTTTTGGGAATTTGGCTCTCTGGTGTGGAGCGTGGCAACAAAATTGCAACTTTCCTGTGGATTTTCCCCTGCTGTGGTTGCTGGAGTGCACCAGTGCTCTTCAGAAGTAACTGTTCCTGCACATTAGTTAGTTTTAAATGGTGCTGTGTCCATAAGCAGAAGCACTTAAGCTTTCATATCAGGTCAGCTGTGTTTTAATTGAAGGTTATTTAAGCATGCACCCAGTTTTCCTGGGGGTCTGTGTTTTGCTAAGGAACCTCTTCCAATTGTTTATGTTTGCTTAGATATTCACCTTACAGACTGAAACTTCCTGACTCACTCAAAGACTCATTAAAGAGCTCAAGAGTTGCTTTCAGGCTTTATTAATAAATTCTAAGGTTTGCTTGAAACTGAGCATTTGTTTGAAGGACTCTTTACTTTTCTCTGGGAGATGAGTTAGACCCAGATTGTGCAGGCACAGCAGGCTTTGCTCATAATCCCAGGTCTCATCTCAGTCTGGGGCCCCAAGAATAAGAATGGAAGCTGCATGAGTTACAGGTGCCTGCAGAATTGTCCTGCTGCTTTAGCTGGGGCCTAGGCCAAGCTCCAAACTTTTATTGAATCCTCTGATTGATTTCTTTTTCCCTAGGAAGAAAAAGCTCCCAGATTCTCTCTCACTCCATGGATCAGTGATCCGGCTCTCTCTCCTGAAGGGAATTTCTGCCCAAGTAGTGTCTGCAGCAGTAAGTGTTGCCTTCTGGTCACATCCCCGAGGAAAAGCTTGAAACTCTGTTGGTGTGTAGGGGGGTGTGTGATCTCCTCCCTCCCCCTGCTCTTAGTTCTGGGTAGTACTACCCTGCTCGGGCCATAAACTGCTAACTAGTAGTCCCCAGGCAGCAGTGGGTGAGGGATGAGC